GACCGGGACACCATCACAACATGACCGGGACACCATCACAACATGACCGGGACACCATCACAACATGACCGGGACACCATCAAAACATGACCGGGACACCATCAAAACACGACCGGGACACCATCACAACATGACTGGTCACAACATGACCGCGCCACCATCACATGATCGGGACACCATCACAACATGACCGGGACACCGTCACAACACGACCGGGACACCATCACAACATGACCGGGACACCTTTTAAAACATCAAAACAGGACCGGGACACCATCACAACATGATTGGGTTACAATTAAAACATGATCGGGACACCGGGACACCAGCATCACATGACCCGGACGCCATCAAAACATGACCGGGACACCATCCGCCCACCAGCTCTGACGGTGACCCGACGGCGCCCGTCCGCCTATTAGTTTTGCAAGACCCCATAGCATGGCTATTGGGGAAATATATACGTGTGTATATATATATATATCAAAATTTAATATCGCTCTTTTCATCCAAACAACCAGCCAGGTGCAGCAGAAATGTTGCATTGTTGGAAGATCCAGGAAATAAGCAGTAGTAGTTATATAACTACTATTAATGTATGGCCTACATTCGGTGCTGTTTGGTGGTGAATGTATATAGGTATTTCAGTCCCAAGCGTTGTTGGGATGGATGTTTCAACCATCGAACACGGAACATCGCACCTGTTCCATGTGTAGATTCGGCGGAAGTGCATCGAGTACGCTGGAAGACCATCCATTGAAGCCGCTATCTCGTCTTTTTGAAGGTTTTGAAATGGGAAGCGACCCCCTAGTCGTCCAAGACCATTTATTTAAGAAATGGTTGACCTGGTCTCGTAGTGTAAAATCCTCAGTAAAACAATCGTGGTTCGGGATGACCCGGCTTATTGAATCAATGGTGGGCCAGGAAGCCTATTGACCCGAACCGTTCCATTGCCAGGGCTCTAACACCAAAGCTGCGCTCTCTGTGCCGCTGGCACCAGTGGCACAGCTGCTGGACAGCCGGGCGACCGTAAGGCTGGAACAGCCTCTGGTCAGCTCTGGCATGTGGATTGGTGCTTTGTTTCTAGAAAAAACACATGCCTTAAACATCATGGTTGGTGCCAATCTCCAAATGAATCATGGAGAATCCTACGAACTCAAGCGAGATCCATGGAGATTGATTTGAACAGCCGAAAAGTGCGTTGTTGTTTCTTTCTCCCGCAAAAACCGAGCGACCGAGATTTCTTCAGTCCCACAGGCCAAGCGAAGCAAAGCAGCTGTGATGGTGAGGAAGGATCAGTCCGTGATCTTTCTTGTTGACTTCAAGGAATCGACATATGATTCCAACCGGCCCTTTAAGCCCTTTTTGGCGGGAAGCCCCAGTCAGTAAGTCTCTCTTCTCGTCTAAATACCTCTGAAAGAGAACGTCTCCATCTCTGCGGCTTTTGGGTCTGACCTGAAATCAGGAAAACTGCCTAATTGTTCACCTTGCCAAGGATCCACCAAGTAGGCAAACTTCAGACGAGATTGATCCTCTTTGTGCTGAGTCTATGCCCCTTTTGATGTGTTCCTCGCCAAAGGGTCTAGCGGTTTTGGACGTGTCTCGCCGCAGCCCACGTGTTCTCGTTGACCCCATTGGGCTCTACCGTTGCGCAACGCGCAACCGTGTCCGGTGTTCCCCAACGTGGCAGAACTGCTGAAGACCTCTGACAGGGCGTCTCATACCACTCCCGCAGGGCGAGTAAGGGGGTTTTCGACTCCTGTCCAAGCTGCCTTGGCACTGCAGCAAGAGGCGCTGAGCGGTGTCAACTTGCCGCAGAACTAACGGCGTGACCTCTCGGTTAGACAGATCCCAAACCATCCGTGACTGGAAGAGTTACATCCATGCGTGGCTGCAATTGACTGAGACTTGGAACTCTATAGAGCATGGTTGTCAGCATGGTGAAGCGGTGATCCGTCAACCGTTTTTGTGGAAGAGGTGATCCCCCTAGAGTCTAGAGGATATCGACCCCTGGATGTTCGCATAGCACCGATAAATTCCAGCACCACGGCTGTCGAGATTGCAAAAGTACCAGCCTGACGTCCGAAACGGTTGATTCCACCACTGGAACTCCGCTGCTTTTTGACACAAAAGCTGATTCATCCATGTAGGTAACTGTTCATATACAGTACATGGATGGTTCTGCAGACCATCCGCCTCTGTGTTGCGAGACACCAAGCCTTCTTTCATACCCCCTGTCAACAGGCCGATGATGGTGGATTTCTAAGAAGTGTGCTTTGTGCATGTCAACAGAACTGCAAAAACATGAATATATCCTGCAGGTTCTGACCCTTCTCACCTCTTCATTGGACTCCTGGGTTTCATGTTTCTTCTCAAATGCTAGCTGTGTCTAGAAGGATACAGGGAGCATCTGGGCGGTTCGTTGGATTGGAAAGGGTCCAGCAGCTGGGGTGGTTCCTCGTGACACGAACGGTTCGCACTTCCTCCTTTCGAAAATTGCGGTTGTTATTCCTTGTACTCAATGTACCTGTAGATCCGACTTCAATATACCCTAGAAAACGGTAATTACATTACCTATAAAAAAGAAACATGTATTGTGTTTATACTTTTTGTAACCCTATATCGTACCTTTATTTCTAATTTACCGGTACGAACTGACACTCCAGGTAAGAAAGCATCGAGACAAAACTACCCCTCCATCGGTATTCCACCTCCTCCACCGGGCTCAACAGCAGCGTGGCTGCCGGCACCGCAGCACTCACCACACTGGCGGTCACACAGACCTCATAGTGGCGGCCCTTTGGCAGCGACGAAGCGTCCAGCGCGGAGCGGCGCGCCGTATCCGCCCGCGAGGGGCTGTCGTGGTAGATGGTGCTCTGAGCTGTCCTGGCGATCCAATCCTCCAGTCTGACCCAGGCAAACCTGGTGAAGACCTCATATTGAGGTAGAGTTGTATGATCAACTCCAAAAATGAGGTGGTTCACTGACCTGTAGGGCGACCGAACTTGATTGGGCCTTTTTTCGGATCTTTGCGAACCGGGTTCAAAGAACGGACGCCTTGGAGATCTGCGACATCCGGACATCCCATTTGGGGGAAGTCCAATAGACCGGGGACGTCCACCTGCACCCGACCGGTTTTTCCTTCGGGTCATGGTTTGGACCTGTCCAACCTGTGCGAGAAGGCGGATCCAACAGAGTCGACCGTCTTCAGCAGTTCGTTCCGGAACGAAGCGGCCATATCAGCTTGTAGTCGGGAAAATGTTAAACTTTTTTGTCCTTGGAGTGTGGATGATCCGCTCCTTTGTGCAACAAGAAAACGACCTGGATCTTCCAACTCTGGATAATTTCTGCTTGTTCGTCGAAACCAGCCAGAAGGATCCAAGTTCGGCAGAAATGTTTGCACAGTTGGAAGATCTAGAGGTATGAGAATGTCGACCATCCCTGGTCACCCTTCACAGAAATGTTCACGCACAAAACTCGCGTAAAAAAGCCCCGCTTGGCGTGTTTTGTGCAAAAAAGAAACGGCTTGATTTCTGCAGGTCCCTTTGAAAAGTCCTTTTGACCTGTGCTTCAGAATCTCCGTTTTCCTCACTCGTGCTGTTGTGCGGACAGAGCCTACTCGCGCGCCTACTGAATGAGAATCGAATTGAAGAAGACCGTAGGTTCCCCAACTTCATGTGTTCCTGGAAACCCAGAAACACTTCTGGTTGTTCCAATATGGCAATTGAGATTGTTTACATAGGAAGTGACTGGGACTGGGGAAGCATCCACGTGTCTCTGGTTGGGACCGGGTGAACCCAGGTTGACAGCTCTCGCTCAGCCAGGCAACAAAGGTGTTGAGCAAGTGCTGGCCAAGTAGAGTTTGGCCACGCCAACCTCTCGATCGAATGCTGCGGCCCCATGCACTACGTCTACGGCAGATCTTCCAACCACCGTTGCTCAGTATAGACAGGCATTAATTACAGTAAGTATTGTGTGGTGTATGCTTTTGGAGAACAGGCACACTATGTCACTATGCCAATTCTTGGGTACACTTTGACACTTTGTGAAATAATCATGGAAGCATATGGCACCTGATGGCACCACCTGTTTGGTATTAGGGAAGATGGTCATTCCTTTCGGAGCCATGCCATCTACGTAACCATGAGTGATTTCAGAGATAGGTAACTCTGCATGTTCTTCAGTGTTGTCTGGGTCATTGTCCGGGTCAATTTGGAGTTGGCATGACTACAAGGACACCCTTCAAGGCTTCCACCCTCTGACCACTGGCTTGGTTGTGGCTTTTGCTCATTCTTATGTGAAATGTGTCTTCCCGGAATATCTTTGCAAATGGACATATTTATACATATATATATATTATATATATATATATTATGATATATTATGTACTACACCCTGACTTTGGAACCCTAAACACACCCTGACGCCGTGACTCGCGAGTCCCGGTGCACCTCACACGCCGAGCAAACAAAATTGAAGCTCTGCAAGGCCGGTCGAATCACCTCAGGTCGGTCGCTGTTCGTCTCGAGTGGAGGGACAAGCCGAAACCGAGACAAGGAAAGGGGTGCACCCAAACACTATGATGACATATGATATGTGTACATGGGGTGTATATGTCCATATCATATACTGTATATATATGCACTATATTGCATTATGTATCAATATGGAGATATGATATGTATGGAAATATACACCGTTCCACCTGATTTCTGACATTGATCCATTTTCAACCACCCCCAATGTAGGTGTATATCCCCCATTGGAGGTTCTGTATGGGGTAGTCTTCGCCGTAACTTCTGTGGCTCCCCACTTCTGGATGTCCAAACAACAAACGCCCCAAGAGCCATCAGCCATCCCGCGACATGTCCCGGTACCTCCTTCAGGGTACCATGGTCGAAACAAAGGCTTCAGGGTCGAACTGCAGAACTGCAGGACATACGCCCGGAGCCCGGAGCCCGGATGGGTAGCGCAGTCGTCGCGCAGTCGTCTCTCGTTCTTTCTTCGGTCATCTCGGGTCTCGAGTCTCGGTGGTGCTCTCCGACCAACCGTGCGGTCGTTGGCATCCAAAAGGTCGGGAGTGGTTGCCCCCGGTGGTTCTTGAGTGCAGGCGCAAGGCAACTTCACGGCCTGAAGATATTGGACAAAAAGTGGGGGAATCCATGGTCACCCCACTTCTTGGAGGCTTCCGTTTATGCCTTCTCCCAAGTTGGAGGTGGGAAGAACTGTCCACTTGGATCCACTTGGTCAATGTGTCTCGCCGATGGGGGTTCAGGAGATTTCCTATCTCCTATCCACTCACCAAATAAGAACAGGCTATGCCTAGACTCTCCAGTTTTTACCACCTGTACCAGTTTTCCAAGGTACGAACGGGTCGACTGTAGTAGGTAGACTGCAACGAAATCTCCACCGGAACCACTCTTTCTGGGTTCGTGAGAGATGATCTTCATCAGCCTTGAGGTGGGTTTATTCTAAATCAGCACACCTGGCAGCACCAGACTCTACGAAATCCCTTTAGTCATCAGACTACGCAGCACTGGCACAGACCCAGCATCGTCGCCCTGTTGCCCAAGTGGCTACCTGAGAGAGCTCCGAGACCTGCCGTGCGCTGAGAGAGCGAAAAGCACAATCCCGGGCCCTCCCCACCACAGCAAGTCAGTCCCTGTTTGAAGCTCGACTTCTCCCCAAACAAAAACCTCCAGGTTGCCTCACAGTCTCGATGAATTTGGTGAACTCTCTTGGAAATCCCATCGATCTGTTCGTTCCCCGTTCGGCTCGATCACTTTGCTCGCGTTCGCCGTTCCGATCGCATTCGGTGCGTTCGTCTGATGGATCGATGAATCGTCTGATGGATCGATGTTTCCAGCGGCGTTGTCGCACGCCGCTTCCACCTCTTAAGGTGAAAGGCCTTTAGTCCAAAGGCCACGAAACATGGTCCATGAAAAGCAGGCCAGTTTCTTATAGCGTGCGATCGGAAACACGCACTGAACTTCGCATCTCCGTCCTCACCCTCGATCGGATGGTCTGCGGATCCCAGGCCCTGGCTCGCTCTCTCTCTCTCTCTCTCTCTCCCTCTCTCTCTCTCGGAGGCCGCACCGGATTCACAAAGACAGGGATGCCCGTGTCGCCCGCAGGCAAAGATCCTTGCCCATCCAAATCCAAGCACAAATGATACCTCGGAGCAGATGATTCGAACAACGGCACTGAAACAAAGGCCAAGATCTTCGAACAACGGTCCAAAGCAAGACTCCAACTACTGTAGCTACCTTTGTTTAGAGCTACTAGCACTTTCCAAGGGGTCACCCCACTATGTGGATCTTTATTGGACGCCCCTTGGATGGTCCAGGTATCTGAGGATGTGCGGGCTGAGCCCCTGGAAAAAACGGGCAGCAGAAGGGTGTTTCTCAACCAAACAGGTCGGCACGGTAGCAAAACCGTTGGGAGTACCGTTGGGTTCTCCCGGAGCTTCCCGCCCCGGAAGCCCTTCTTGGGCTGTCTTTACTAACACTCCGACTCACTAACATATAGGAACACCACCTGTTTAACAGAGGATCATGGTCTTCAGAGGGGCAATGCCATCCGCTTCCATCTTATTGAGTCGGAGTGTATTCAAATACCAGCCATGCATGGGCCAAGTGTCCATCACATCGCGTCCGCCCCTCTGGTCAGTCCCTACTGCTATCCGCAGCTCCTACTGGTGCAGGTGAACACTGCTCTTTTTTTTCTACCAGCGGGTGACCCCAACCAAGCCATGGAAGAGAAGGATGTATTTTGGGATATTCTTGGGGGTGTTGGCCTTCCAACCACTATAGCAGTTCCAAAGGAAAGGGGTGCAGCTACGCAGCACGACTCTCGTGCCCGGTACGTCACGTCACATCTCTGTCACGACTGGTACGTCCGGACGCTCCGAGGGCGCTGCTTTTGGGATCGTCGGAGAGTTGAGCGCCCGGAGGATCCAGGAAGCGCTCGGTCCGCTCGGTCTACGGTTTTGTCCTTCCGTGTGTGGTGTTTCCTCCATGTCTTTCGATGCCCCCCCTATCGTGAAAAAGGGGGAGTTAGCAAAGGTTATGTAGCAAAAGTTGTAGACCCTCCAGTCTATTGATCTCCGACCATGGAGAAACAAGAACCTACTAGTAACAAAGGGCATCCCTATGAACGAAGCGATCGGACGCTACGAACGTAGCTTTCCTGGCCTTACTACTACGGTAGTAACAAGGAAGCTACTATTCGTTGAAAGCAGAAGGGTTGTGTCCCACAGCATCGAAGCACCCGAGCAGCCCACGTTCATACCCAGGGGCGTGAGGCCCACCGGACCGGACCATCCAACGGGCGTCCACTGGAGATCCCTAAGTACAGTATGGGGTAGTCGTCCAGCCAGGACACCCCTTGGAATGTCCAGGTATACACTAGTTGGACAAAGGCCGATTCAGAATCGAGCCAAAAGTTCTTATACGGGGCTATATAGAGGCTTGAACCCTGAGGCAGAACGTGTGTGTGTGTGTGTGTCCACACCTGTTTCTAAGGAGCTTGCATTGCATAATTCACCACCGGTGGAACAACTCGTTCCAAGCAGGGGGGGCAGTGGACCACTATCACTCACTGCCCAACGAAGACAGTGATAGTTCGGTAGTGATATGACTTTGGGACGCCGAAGTCACGTACCTGCAGGAACTGTTTAATCTCTTCTACAGTGCTAACACGTGGGTTAAACAATTTTTTTTCTCCGACCCAGCACTCCTTCTGTTTTGCAAGTCAAGGTCTAGTCTCTCCACCGGTATTGTATTCACTAGAGTGGAAGATCACAACTGATTAGCAACAATCTAAGTGTGTTTCTTTTTTTCTCCGGAGCCAGGGTTGAGGGTACTCAACGAGGTATCAAAGTGGATCCTTCAATTCCTAGGGCTCCAACCATCCTCAGGTTCGGTGGTTAGACCCCCCAAACCTACCATAACCATCTTCGAGACGGAGGTAGGCCAGGAGCCCTAGGGGATGATCATTGACCATCAGCCCTCATGCGGCACGACACTTCTTTTTCACACCGGATGCTGACTCCGCAGACAAAGTCAAACGTATTAAAACTCAAATTGGTACTTTTTCTTCCGGACGAGGTTTTCTTCCGGGGCTTCATGTGGAACCACTTGGAACTGTTGGGAACAATTCCAGAAACTCCACTGGCAAGTACAGCAATAATGGCAATATAACATGTACTCCCCCATTTCCCCCACCTCATGCGTGCAAGGCAAGGTCCTGGCAGCTTTGCTGAATGCTGCTGAGACACTCCAGCCCTGCGGTTAGCACCTCTGTCTGGAGATCAGCATACCACCACCTTATATAGCTGCTGCACAAAGAAAACCGTGAGTCTAGGAAAACACACCTAGCCTAGGTTGATTGAATGAATCTGGCTACATCAAGCTCACATTGACTTAAGACTCAACATCATTCAGTTGGTATTCATCGCACATCCCCGAGGCTTCGCCGGAGGAACGTGGTCGGGCCTGAGGGGCCTATATGGGACTCATGTGACGGTCTGATGAGAAACGTCCAGGACACCAGCAACCCATAGCAACCCTATTGGTTGTGAATCCTCTCAATGCATCTCAAGGGACACCCATACCGGCCCATACCCATACCATTAATGCAAACGCATGCATCCAGAAAGGGAATCGAATATAGACTATAGATGCATGCCGTCGAAAAGTCCTCAAAATATAAATGCATCACCCCGACATCAGGACTTGCACTAGGAAAACCAAATGAGTTTACCAGAGTTTACCCATCTTGCCACTCTTGGGTGATCCGGATTCTACGACCTGAACCCGCGGTCGACCTCTGGGAGGTCTTCAACGGTCAAGCTAAAAGGTGCACACCACCCGAATGCAACGGGGCGGCCGGCGCCAAGAAGGTACTACCGAAGGTTCCAACATGCACGTTGACACAAATCCTGGCCCCTCGTTACCGCTTTTTTCAGGTCTTTGTTAGGAGGCTCAGGAGCCTTTTCGGGTCTGACTCTGTGAGTGACGAGTTCAGGCGTTCGATCTCTGTGAGCAAAAAGAAGGAGATCGAACGGATGGTCAATGGTGCTGGGACCCTCCTACGAATTCGGCCTCACACTCGGGTGGTTTGATCTTTTGTTTTTTTGGACACGCGGGAGCCTCAGGGTGCAGAGGATCAAAAACGCATGGAAGGAAAGTCCCTAAAGAATATTAAAGAATCAATGTGCATGTCCTGCTAAACAAGGAACACGCCTTCAACAACCCTAAAACGCACCCAGGTTCGAGTCGAATTTCATCTGCTCATGTGCTCATGCACACTCAATATTGCACAACAAAACCAATCCCTAAAGAATCAAGGTACGCCTTACCACTTTGAAGAACGGCAACTCCGGGTTCTACCTTTTCCTACTGATTCGAAAACACGCCGACGCGTGGATGTTTTCAAAAACCACAGACTCGGGGTGAGTCTGAGTCGAACCAAAAAACACCGACTGCTCCCGGAGACGACGTCGACCACGTCCAACGCTCGCGATCCGGAGGCGGCGGCTTCGGCACACGCCTCGGCGCCCAAGGCACACGCCCAGGCGGGAGGGATCTGACTCATCCCGGAAGAGGTTCGCCACCAGCGTTCGCTGGGTGGACTGCACCAGTGTGCCAGCGGGATAAGGATAGCTCAGAGGCTCCTGCAGGATCGATGTGAGCAACTGGCGGTGGCGGTGGGGTCCAAAGGGTCCAATTTGGGTCCAAACTGTTAAAAAATCACCGACCGGTTGACCACTGAAAAATGAGAGACGACCAGACAAGACATGGTCCACCTTCCATGGTATTTTGGTGAGGGAAGGTTTGACCCACTGCCCCCCAACAAAAACCTTGAAGAGTTGAACCTTGAAACCCTCACATCCATGTGGTTATCTGGCTATCAACGTGGGATTTGGATGGATTTGGTCTCCACAACCAGAAAGTAGGTGCGACTCTATCAGATATATACTGGCTTGAACAGAATATGATGCATCCAGCTGGAATCCACTCATCCAAAACAAAGCCAAAAACGCTGCCGAACCCCCCAAGAGGTGTCTAACTTGTGGCCCAGAGGGGGGGTGGCGAAAGCTAGGCAAAGAAACAACGCTGGGGCTCTTGAGGCAGCAAAAGAATGGCCGGGAATCGCAACATGCCATGGCCAAGGGAAAAGGAGAGTGCCAACAGCGCCCCCCCAATACGACCCCAACACAGCCAACACATGGCAACACACAACCACCCCAGCAACCGCAGCAGCAGCAGCAGCAACAGCCACAACAACAATAACTGTAACCAGCAGTGGCAGCGGCAGTAAGCAGAAGCTACCAACCAGCAGCAGAAGCAGCAGCAGGAGTAGCTAGCAAGCAGCAGCACCAGCTACCAAGCAGCAGCAGCAGCAGCAGCAGCAGCTGCTAAGCAGCAGCAGCAGCTACCAAGCAGTAGCAGCAACAGCTACCAAGCAAGAGCAGCAGCAACTACCAAGCAGCAGCAGCAGCAGCTACCAAGCAACAGCAGCATCAGCTATCAAGCAGCAGCAGCAGCAGCAGCAGCAGCTACCAAGCATCAGCAGCAGCCACCAAGCAGCATCAGCAGCAGCTACCAAGCAGCAGCAGCAGCAGCAGCTACCAAGCAGCAGCAGCAGCAGCAGCTACCAAGCAGCAGCAGCAGC